TCCCGGGATCCATCCTCCGCGAGTGTGGAAGCGATGGGCGGATCCGAGGAGGTACCTCGACTCGAATCTGCCTCCCTCGTATCCTCAGCTCGCGCTTCGCTAATGGCCGTGTTGATTTCGATCAAAGCTCGAGACGCGGCGGCTTTCTCAAGCATACGCGCCAAGTTTTTCTCCGACCCAGGAGAGTCCAAGTACTTCGTGGGGTCTTGTAGCTGACCTAGGATCTCCCCTGCTCGTAACATGCGTGGACGGAAAGATAGGTTGGCGACCGGGACGAAAGGCGAATCTTGCTCGATAAGGGTGTTGGGTATGGCGAAGGCGGGCTCGAGACCCGCATTGAGCAGTCCTTTATCCAACATCCAAACGCGATCGTCTCGAAAGGGCGCGCGCACGCGTACCTTAACTACTCCGCCGGCGGGCACACGGACCGACTCCGCAACGCGTACTAACCGAGCGCCATGGCCGAAGTATCGAGTGTAGGGCAGACCCTTCTCACTGCGATAGGTCAGTCGTTCTTTTCGCGGCGCAGGCTGCTTGCTACGGCGGGAACGCGGCGTGGCGCGGCGCAAAGTCTCCGGGGTAGGAGGCCACGTTATAGAGTAAGCCCGCTTGGCTACTTCGTCGACGGCGACATCGCGCACGGGGGCGGCTTCAACCGAGTAAGGAAATCCGTCGAAGGAAAGAGTAGCCCGCCCGTCCTTGCGCGCGACGTTCACGTTATACAGGCGCTGGAAGTCTTCACCCAGAAGCAACGGTGCAGTCATATTGCGAACCACATAGGCTTCAAGTGAGAACTGTAGGACCTCGCCGTCACGAGTACGTGCGTGTACCGGGATAGTAACGTAGCCCAGAATCTTGACGTCACTGGAGGTGAGCTGGACGAGCTGTAGTCGCATACCCCGCTCGATCGGGGGCGCTAGCGCTCCCAATGAATCGTAGAGGGCTTCGCTCATGAGGGATAGGTTCGCACACGAATCGAACCTCAAGTCCACCATAGGCCCGTCCGGCGAGCACAGCCAACCTTCCGTCGTAAGAACAGGTACGCCCTCTGCCGCACGCCCTGGAGCCGGCTCCCGACACTTGGGCATGACGACTACCGCGTCGGGTTCCGCCTCTGGCTTAGGAGGAGAGGATTGCGAGGTCAAAGCCGCGGCCTCTACGGGCGGGCCAAACTCGACGCTATCCGCCTCCACTAGCAGGGCAGGATACCACTCGGGAAGAGGATTGTAGTCAGGTTCGGACTCGTTGATTACCTCGATCGGTACCCGCGAAGGAGAAAGAAGACGATCCGTGAAGGCCGTGTAAGCTTCCTGGACAGCTTCACGCGCGATATAGTTGGAAAGGATATAATCATTAAGGAGGGCAGCATAGATACTACGATAGTTTGATTCTTCTTCGTACGGGCGATCTTCGAATTGCATGGTAACGTGAGCAGCCTTTTTAGCGTTAAAAACTTCGGCGTGCGGGCATTCGCGATCCCAGTGCTCGGCACTGCCACAGTACTTGCACGGCGAGGGCGGCTTGCGGGCTAGACGCGTCTTGACATCGTCGCGCTTCTTGAACGGGTAACCGCCAGCCGGAGGAGGTCTCCGGCGCTTCTCGATCGCGGCGTAAACTTCCCATATCCCGTCGGGCAAGCCACTGCCGTCTCCGGCGGGCTCGCCTTCGGGCGCCGAGTCGTAATCAGCGACTTCAGCGTCATGAGCGTGCTTTTGATCAGAGTCGCGGTCCCGGTTGTAGCGAGGGTATCGGCGACGATCGTCGTTGTCGTAACGCGGACGGAAGGAGGATTGCAGTTCCCGGCGGGCGCGGTTCAACCC